GTAACTTGTGTAACATACACTGGACTTGATTTTTTTGTAAACTGTATAATGAATAGCACGAAACTTTTGGTAACGTTTTCAAAAGGAACTATATTACTAAGAACAAAAAGCTAAAGTACTATTAAAAGCTTCAGTGACTCTTAATAAACCACAAATATAACTTTAAAATAAGACCAATATTTTCATCATACCTTTTGATAACGGAAGCTTCAAATCAATAATCTGATTTAATCACTAAATCAGCAACAATAATGGCATAGAACCTTTCTTCGCCAAACGTGCTCCAATGTTTCGAACGACTTCTCCAAAATGTTCTTTAACAAAATAGAACAGAAATTGTTTTTTGACACATTTGTATGCCACAGCTTTCCTAATTAAAGAGCTTAATTTAACATAAATACCAAAATTCAGTCTAAATGATGCAATTCTCACTTTACACCATCTTGCAAACCACGTGCTCAAACATCAGTATTACAATCACAAAATGGCAGATAATTAAAAGAAAAAGATATTTTTCCTTCTCGGGAACATTTTACCATCAATAAATATGTACAATAATTATATAAGTTTAACACCACAGGCTTTTCATATTACAATAATAAATTTCACGTAGAAGTTTTAATTTACCTAAATAATATTATTTTAGAAAAAAAGTATAAAAAGGAACTGCAATTCTTCAATAATAAAAATGAAGACGGTTAACAAAAGACAAAACACTTCATTTACAAGGTTCGAACGGTTAGAAATACATTTACGTCTTCTTCAGCAAAATCAGAAAATAGTAAGTAAATTAGTGATTAATGATATTATAATTGTAGTTAATGATTATCTTTTGTACCACTATTATTGAAATTAATAAAAAAAGACCACAGACTCGCCATCTATTATCATGATATGAAACTATAATAAATAATCAATAACAGGAAATAGTTAGATTTTACGATAAGAGATGGCAGTAAATGCTTTCTGATTTCGTTAAAGTTAGGTTTTTGTTCAAGAGATGGCGGTAAAGCTGATCCGATTTCCTGAATAGTTTTCTGTATAATAGATGGCACTAAAAACAAAGCTAAATATTTTCTCTTGTAGTTGTTTGGATGCTAAAGAATCCGTACTAAACCAGTTCTTATTAACGATATTTATTTAAAATACTTTTCATAAATGATAATATGCAGACCTAATATTATTTCTAGCAAATTATTTTACATTTATTTCCACTATATGTAAATATTTGTTTAAAATAGCTTTGATAAATACTAATATTTAATAATAACTTTTTATTTTGAGTTTATTTTTATTTCAAATATATTTAAATATTTAAAATACTTTCAAGAAATACTATTATTCAGAACTAATTTCGTCTTGCAATTATTTTTGCCATAGTATATTAACAGAATTATAAATATTTCTTTCATTAGACTGATAATGAAATGACTTTTATTCAGATTTAGTTTTAAATTGCAATATATAATAACTTAGTTTGCAACGCCATATACTTCAGATGAAATAAAATTAAAACCGTATTACATTCCAAGGAATTAGTAAAATTTACAGTGAAGATAACTGTCCCGATTTTACAATTTATATTTGATTTGTCTTTGCACGGTTTTGTAACTTTCTTGTACTTTTATTCCTCCGCAGCTACAGTTGCACTGTGCATTTCTTTAACACAAAACATCGTCATTATTAACACTTCAATCTGTTACCTAATCACAAACCTCCACGTCACTGTGGCCGATTTTATCAAGAATGAAACTACGCCCATGGTTAGACATTGTATTAGCAATATTGAGAGATGATCATCAAGAAGCTACTTACACGATTCTTTTCAACCATTCTAATACAGTTATATATAAATAAATTACTCATAATAAAACAGACAGATATGGATCATAATATTTATAGACAAAGAGCCAGTAAAGTAAGAAGGATCTTTAGAAGCCAGTAATATTTGCAATTAAGTCCAGATGGTCTTGTGCTTTTACTTTTCATGGACCAGCTAATCAAATATAAGCAGAATTATGAAAGCTTTATACAAACAGTCCACTCATTACAGGATACAAGCCTAAAAATAATGCAAATGAAATTGTGTGAATTTTGATAGCATTAAAAAAAACAGTTTATGTAAATATCTCACGTTACTCACATAATGAAACTAAAACTTTAGAAGTTGTAATAACTTACAATTATAGTTCTTTTTATATATACTTTTTATGAACACATAAAATATTCTTCATACATTACAATTCACACATACAACACAAAATGTAATGTTAACACCACCTGAATTCTGTTGACTCAGTAATATCATTAAACACCTAAAGTAGAAATGTTTACCACAAGAAAGAAATATATAATACTTGAAAATGTCCAAAAAAAAAAGGTATGTTTCTTGGAAATGAATAAAAAAAAAGATCTTTCCTGGAAAGCCAAAAAGGAAAGGTACATTTTTTTTGGAAAAGTCTAAAAAAAAGATATATTAATAGAAAAGAGGAAAACAATTACATTTCTGGAACAAACAAAAGATGGATATATTTCATGGAAAAATCCAAAAGAAGAGAGATGTGTCCTTTTAAGAAGATGTATATTTCCTGGAAGAAATTCAAAGATCACTGTCTTTTTCACTGAGTATCCTGAATAAAACATGCAGTAACACTGTTAAATTCTTCACCATTTTCTCCTTTATATAACAAAGAAAACAGCACAGCACATCGACACTATTTACTTCTTCCTTCTCCATCCTACAACACAAAAAACATTGATAGCAATATTAAATATTGAGATTGTTTTCTTCACGTGGAGTTTTGCTATGTTTTTCACAAAAGCATGTTAGCCTCTTTCTGACCTTTCAAACTAATCTTTTGCACTCAACTGATTTTGGGTTGCCGTAGCAAAGGGGGTGCATACTTATGCAATTAAGAATATTATAGTCTTCTTTGAAAATCTAATTTACGTAAGATTGGCGTTTCGTTAGCTTTTTCAGTTTGGAGTAGATTGTGTTCATTCTAAATATAAGGTCCCATTTGAAAGTTTCATGATTGCAAGCTTAGACGGCAACAAAATGTGGAAAATTTGCAGGGGGTAAATACATTTGTAAGACGCTGTGTAAATATGAGATTATTGTGTGAGCAAAAAGAGATTTTCAAACACCACACTTATTATATCTACTCCAATACTATATGAGGATTAGTCTTAGCATTTTAATGGTTTTTGTATCCAGAGTTTTTGATGAGTGTTGGAAGTCCGTAAAACAAGAATATATTGATATTATTATTTAAAGCGAATGGCAGATTGATTTGGCATTTTTTATTTAGCATTTTAAAAAAGCTCGTCTGACTGAGTAAGTCACAATATTAATTTACTAGCATCAAATTCTCTTATAAAAGTATGATTACTGTGTTAGAAAAATACATTTGAAAACACCATACATATACTATTCTAATGAGTTTTAAACTCTAAATCAATTTACTAAATCTAGTTTCAAATATTTTTTTCTTTCCTTATCACATAAAATGTTATAAAGGGCAGAAATCCCGCAGACCTAAATAGTTTCTAAGATCAGTTGATACAAATATTTGTGAAAAATAGTGCTGATATTAATTGTTAAAGTAAGTAAGAATGATGATAGGGATTTTTTGTTTCAGTTTTTCGTGTATTGTTTATTTATTTTTTCACAGTTTTGCTATCAAGCAGTCGAGTTATTGTTTTATAAACGATTCACGCAAGCAGCTATGTATTTTGTACTCGTAATTAGAAAAACGTTGCTCACATTCTTTTAAAATACCTTCGTCGTCGCTGAAAATGGTTTTTAAAATCACGGTTGTCGAAAGGAGAGTTCTTCCTTTTTTTAAAGGACATTAATGAATTACTCTAAATTTACAGTCATTTGTACTTTATGACAAAATAATGAAAACGAGACATTGCTCACCTCAGAGTTTGACCTTTACCTTTCAACAAATCAAACAAATGGAATGTTGCTAAACCTTTCGAAGATCACAAAATCATGATGATTGAAATAGCAGATCGACCAAAATAACAGTAGGTATCGTATATTACTTCCCTTTCTGCTGGTAATACAATCAAGTTTGAACTGTACAAGAAAAACTCCTGGTACTTTAAAACTCCTATCGTGAAGAGTTGTAAACATAACAAAGAACATAATGAGAACATAGAAGAGAATTTGATGTAACGTA